TGAAAAAAAAGAGCTATTACTTAATTTACGGGATTGTGACAGGAAGTGTTTTATGGTTTGTTGTACTCCATATTGAAAATGGTAATTATTCCAAATTTCTTATTTTAGTGTCAAATGAAAAAGTAACATTCTCGGAGTTTTACAGGATTGTGACATGATGTGCTTTACGGTTTGTTGTGCTCCATATTGAAAAAGAAACATTCTTGGAGTTATCTTTAACTTTGATTCCTGTCCTTGCCATTTCAACCACTCCTAATGGACTAAATCTTGATGCATCCTGAAAGATACACCACATCAATTTCAACAAGTGATTTATGTTTCATCTGGCATGGGATCACTCTGACTGATACCTGCTGTCAGAGTGGTATGACATGGTAGCATACCAACAACAAGGCAGTTTCCAATTTATGAAGAAGAAGCCAATATGTATACACATATATATAACCTCATTCATCACTGCCAAGCCCTCCTCCAGATAGCTGTTGAATGAAATCTGACTAACCTAGTGGAAGGTTTCTCTTCCAAGGCAATGTTACATCTCAAGAAAAAAGCCTCAAGTGAACAGTATGTCATGTTATAAGTGAACTAAACAGAGCGGTCAGTATCTAATTGTTCACTGGACCTGCTAGTGAAACTGCCAACTTATACATTGCACCTAAGACCTACCAAATAGACTTTTAATGGCCAAAATGTGAAGTATGCTTCGTTAAGAAATGAGATGACACAGCTGACCCTGTCAGACAAGGAATTTTAATGGGTTAAGCTTTTGTTGAGGACCACAAAGCCACACATATTGGAAGTATGCACAAAGCTGCTGATGCTTAGCCCAAATAAAGCATAGGCACCAACAAGGTAACTCAAGATTACCTGAACCTAAGAAATGATAAGTTAAAACATGAATACCTTTAACATTTCAACTTCAAAAATGTTCTTGCATTTTTTTATAATTGAACATGCTACCAAGATATGAACAAATTTTCGAACATTACAACTGCCAATTCATTCTCTTTTATTCAATAAAGATATGAAAGCATACTTGTGTCACATCTTCCATATGGGATTCCTCCAAGCAAGCAACTTGCTTTCCATTTCTCCAATCCCAAAAGTATATCTGTAAGGAAAAAAAAGGAAAGAAGTTACAAGTTTGACAAAACCATCTAACAAACCATTGATAGCAAAATCAGATAGATTAAAGTGATAAAACTAGAAAAATAATTATTCAGTTTTATTAATCAATTACACCAAGAGCATGAATTCTGTACAACAGAAACCAATTACCATAAATATCATCACTGAAGCTTCTCTCAACTGCTTCATCTAATTAATTTTTATGCCATTGTTGATGGGAATGTTAACCGATGTAGGCCATTTCTTATATCAACACATTAACAGTTCAAAAACAGATGCCAATATGCATGAAACAATGAGACAACAGAGACTTTAATTAACAAATAATCAGTTGGATCCAAACTTCTTCCACATTTTAGCAAGTTAGATCTATAACTCAACTTGTTTTGGACACATTTGCAGAATAGTAGTATGCCAACTATGATTTTCTAGTGGTGAGTCAATTTTTTTAATGAACATTTAGTAGAAATATGATGACATCAGCCATGACTGACAACAATCTGTCAAATTTTATTTTGTAATTATGCTTGATAGCTCTAGCTCGAAACTTACCACATTGAAGTTACTTCTTGTCGCTAGTGTATCTCCATGGGCATGGGAAAACCAGAAAGACGGACATCATATGGCACGTGACTTAAAATTATACATAGCCAATCATACAAGTGTATCATAGAACTACATATAATAACTTGGTTCATATTAGATGTAAATTTTGCATATAATAAACATCTCAACTAAGAGCATACACTGAAAATTAGTACCTGAGCATTGCATCCACCAACAAGTAGGTTACCACTTGATCCACCATAGCAAAAGCTATATATTTCTTGAGAGGAATTAGCTCTTAACAGAGAAACCTAGGTCACAAGCACCCAATTAAAGAAACAGACAATCTAAAAGAAACAGAGAAACAGATTATCTAAATTTGTTTGCAGTGTCATTCAAGATACACTGACAACTCAATCAGAAAATTCTGAAATGTAACGAAATTAGTATGTACTGTTGGAATTTTTAAATAGAAAAACAAATGTGCACAAAGATACAAGCATGGTGTGATAACAGAAACATTCGCGAGGAAATGATGGCCAAAGTGGACAATCATAGAAATTACCTATAAACAAGTCCACTATCAGTTGATTTCATGATCTTTGAACAAAGTAATTTGGGTAATAATAGTTTAAGACATGAAAAGCAAAATATATACTTGTTAATTAATAGAGAAAAGACTTTTAGAAAGTTACACTTGCCATATTGTGATATAAACAAATATCAATGTGGTATAATGTTGACCAACATAGAGAATGTTTGCAACTATATACGAAATAGATTCTAATTTTAAGAGAGTTGAAGCAATCATACCTGATTGAATGTCCTGATATCCCATGTTCTAATAGTGCCATCAGATGAACAAGAACAAATTGCCTGTGGTGACAATGGTTCTGGAAAAGAAATTTCATGGATTGTACCACTGTGGCCTCTACACTCACCAAAATACTGTCCAGTTATTGGAGAGTAAAGTTTGATTGTATTTGTAGACAAGGACACAGCCAAATTTGAGATCTCCTGGCTTGCATTTGTCACAAACAAATTCAAAGAAGAAAAAATATAAGCAAAAATAGCCATTGGAGAAACACAAGATGAATGTCAACCAACCCTACAAAACCCAATTTCCAAGCGAGAATTTGCAAAACGATACATGTTAAAAGATATCATTAATTCTGGTTCGCCAATAAACAATGCAGAGTACACAAATTTTATTTAACAATTCATAGATGTAATCCAACACAGAGGTAGTAACGGTCTTGCAACAGAGCAACAGTAAACAAACTCTCTAGTTCTTACAAGTCATTAAATAAAGTAATAATCCATATATACTTACATATGTATATATGTGTCTATGGAGTAAAACAGCAGAATCTGTCATATGTCCATATATACATCGGTAAATTTGGTACACTCAAATTGCGTAAAGGTGGAACAAGAACATATCAATTTTGGAGAAAGCAAATCGTTCCTAGCATCTTCCATTGCTTCCATCTTTACCTAAACTACCGAATTCTGGATTGTAATGGACTTCTGGTCGGTCTACCACGTACAAGAAAACAAAAGGTTGCAAATTCTTTTAGGCGATCATGTGGATTTCTTCCTTTTCATAGATTCAACCTAAGGCAACATAACCCGATACACTGGCTCAATTTGCGCCTGCAAATTGCGTCCCAAATCCTAACCAAGCCTCGGAGCTGGAGATCATAACGAAGAGGGACCGCCCCACGACCGCATACCAGAGAGAAACATAACGATAATTTGTCCTCCGAACACAAAAAGAAAAAAGAAACGAAAATAATTCAATATCGACACGCCATGCGAGAGGAGGGCCGACCAACAAAACCCTGGGCGAGAGAAACGATCGAGAACGGCAAGATACGAAGAAGGAGGGTGCGGGTGGTACTTGGCAGCGATCTGGAAGACGTGGTCGTCGCCGAAGTTGGTCTGGATAGAGTTCTTGAGAGCGAGACGCTTCGAGGAGGGCGATGGAGCAGCGGCCTCCGCCTCATCTTCCATCGCTGCATCAGCCTCCATCGCTGCTCGGCCACTTGCTAGCTGCAGGCGTCGCCTTCCGTAGGGTTTGCTCAATGTCTTCCGCCTCAAAGCGGGTGCGGAACAAGAAGAGTCGGGTGGGATGGGGCCGACTCTTCTTGCCGGCCCGCCTATATATATATATATATACGGAATAAATTGATGCATCCTATTAGCTTAATTCATTTTTAAAAAAAATAAATATATGTATATAGGAGGAATTTAATTTATCCTATCAGCTTGATTTATTTTTAAAAATTATGAAATTATGATCGTTCATACATATAAAATATTGAATTCTTCAGGGATGTATAAATTATATTTTCCTATATGGGTGACAAATATTTAGATTAGAATTTGAAATTTGCTAATCATGGATTTAATTTACGTATCAAATTTGTTGAGTACTTGGACTTAATGTTAAATCCATTAATCATGATGAATTTAATTTCGTGGTCAGGTAATTTGTATTAACTCATATATTTTTAAATGGTTAATGCTTGGATGTTGAATTTTGAGTGGTAGACTTAAACTTACAAAGTTTAATTGCGATGGATCACACCAGAACCTATTTTGCTTTCAACAAGCCATGATGGTGAACATGCAGATTGTTTTTGGATGCTGATAATTAAATTGAAAGAGGGAAAGAAAACTGATGTGTTTTCTTCTGCAAAAGACTAAAAATTAAATTACTTCAAGAATCTCTCACAAAATATGAACAGTATATACCGATTTATACACCCCCTAAAAATTAAATTACTTTATGAATCTCTCACAAATACAAACAGCATATACAGATCCATACATCCCCTAAAAATTAAATTACTTTATGAATCTCTCACAAATACAAACAGTATATACAGATCCATACATCCCCTAAAAATTAAATTACTTTATGAATCTCTCACAAACATAAACAGTATATACAGATCCACTAGGAGATTGATATCATTCCGAACCGATAATTAATCAATATCTCCGACCAATAAAATGAATTATGCTTAAGAGCATAAATTATGGAGAGTAGTCTGTACCTCCTGAGATACTGAAGACTTTCGAAGCCCTAACAAAATTAAAATAGTTTTATTATCCTCACTGTATAAATGAGAAAATTTAAAACCAGTATTCTGAAGAAGTTTTCTCCTCCTTATTTATAATATGAACTGGCAACTTGATGCATTACTGACTAGATTACAGCCACCTTATTGTTCCTTGTGTCGATGCCAGGTTTTGCAGATGGAGGCATCAAATTCAGCTTTCTGGTGGATGCCACTTGGCATCACATGGATGATACATCATGCAAAATAATTGTGTATACATAGCATTACTACTTATAATGTTTGAACAACAAACTGAAATTGCTCCTACAGTCTCCTCCTTTCCTGTACATGGCTAGTAAACTACCACACACCTCACAGAACCTAGCAGCCTCCTTCATAAACTGTGTAGATAAGTTTCTTGTGCTATTGTTTCCCTAACAAGCAGATAAGGACTATTTACATGAGGCTTTTCCTTGTAAAGCAATATACATCTCATAAACCAAACAAGCTTTCACCAAACCGTCACTTTGGCATCAGACCTCAGAAACAGTAGGGGAGTCTGGGGAAGGTAGGGCTTGCCACAACCAAGAGACTGAGGGAGCACAGGTTCAGTCATCTTCGACCTTGTAAGACTCCACCGTGATCTCAGACAGCCACAACCCCGGGAAGAGAGACTATGCAAAGCATGCAAACAAAAACCCAATCATCTATTAGTAAACAAAGACGAGGCAATTTGTTCTCTTATGTTCATTCATATAGATCTTGTTTCGTTCATCAAAATATATCTATTCTAATTTATACAGGATACAGATATGCACATTCCGATTAGAAACAAGCCCATTTAGCATCCCATTTTTTTAATAGGATCAGTTAATTCGTATCAAAAGTTTGTTTACTGATTACTTTTAAACTCTGTAAATACCCTGACATCGCTAATGTCTTCTATGCTGCATATTCCAAAATTCCAATAGAAAGACAACATGTTATTATCCAACATCGAGATAAAAACATATTAGTATCAAATTCCTGATATTAAAAAAATCAAGATCCTAGAAAATGATGCCAACTCTCTCTCTCTC